CCCTCATACGGCAGGCTCCCCAGCCCCTTGATCATCTTGGTGGCCCTTCTCTGGCCCCCCTCCAGCCTGTCCACATCTTTTCTGTGTAATGGGGACCAGAACTGTACACAGTATTCCAGGTGTGGCCTGACAAGCGCCAAGTAGAGAGGGATAATGTCTTCTTTACCTCTGCTGGTGATGCCCTTTTTGATGCAACCCAGCATCCTGTTGGCTTTCTTGGCCACAGCAGCACACTGTTCACTCATATTGAGCTTCCTGTCCACCAGGAGCCCCAGGTCCCTCTCCACAGAGCTGCTCTCTAGCCAGGTGGATCCCAGTCTGAGCTGCACTCCTGGATTATGTTTTCCCAGGTGCAAGACCTTACACTTGTCCTTGTTAAACTTCATAAGGTTCTTGTTAGCCCACTCTTCCAGCCTATCCAGATCTTCCTGCAGGGTGGCTCTCCCTTCCAGAGTGTCTACTTCCCCACTCAGTTTGGTGTCATCTGCAAACTTTTTTTTTGCAAAAAAATTGATGCAAATGGAAAGAATGCCTTTCTGCTGAAACCACTGGACTTGATCAAGCTCAACAGTTATTGATAAAAAAGGAAAATACCCCAAATTTTCAAGAAGAAAAGGAGCTGAAGATGTATGAGGAAAAAGGCAGGACTCAGTCAAGTATGAACTTAAGTGCATCTTGCATATCCAAAGTATCTTCGGATTTCAGAATGCATAGTAAGTTATTCTCGGTAACTGTAACAAGAAGGTTCACAAACTGGTACAAAACCACTTCCAAGTGACCTGCAGTAGTAGCTACCTATTGCTTGACTGCTGGAGCTTTTCAATTACAGCATGAGCATCTCCAAAAGGCTACAGGCAATTACCATTGATGAACTGGTAAGATCAAGGCTGAAATTGTGTATTATTTTAATGGAATGACAGGGGCACCTCAAAGCATGGTGTCAAGGTCTCAGTGAGGAAAACTGTTGAAAGAATAGGGAAGGGAGTTAGGCAAGAGGATGGAAATGAAGATGAGTATAGAAGCATATACTCTCACGTGCTAGAAGGAAGACAGTTTCAGGTCACATGTTGATATAGGCACAAGCCACCATCTTAATGGCTGCCAAAATTTAAAAAATGAACAAAACCAAAGTATGAGGTTAAGTGGCTTCACTAGCACAGCAATTAATATGGTATATTATTACAGCTGTGGTTTTTGGTTGGTTGGTTGGTTTTTTTAATCTCAGTACTTCATTTGTCAATACATCTCCGGCATTACAAAGACATCAGATACAGTACCTGAGTCGATTCTTATCTGCAAGCAGCATATGAACATATCTTTCCAGGGAATGTTCATTTAATGCACAGCGCAACCAAGCCCGGCCTCTACCAATATCTGTAGTAATTGTCTTCAGAGAGTAAAAGCGCTGCAGTTCATGTTTATTCAGAACTTCTTTCACATAGTACCAAAACACTGGCTCTGGAATAAAAAAAATAAAAATAATAATAAACTACCACAAACCACTAAGCTCATCTGAATGCATATACATGCAATTTTATAAAACAAGCATGTAATGGTATATAACTTTAAACAAAGGTGAATCATTTACCATCTTCGTACAACTCTCCAGTTAAATAGGTTATTTATTCCTACAGAACTTGGGCTGTTTAAGCACTTAGAACTTTTCGCTTCATTGAAAAAGCCAAACGCGCACATTAAAGGATTCTATCTTACATTTTTAAATAGAATTCACATTCAAAAGCACATTTAAGCTAGTATTTCATCCAGAGAACAGGTTCACATGTTCAGCTGGGAATATATCATGCAAAGGAAAAAAGTTCTTTAGAACTCTGTCTTACTGCTGATTGTGAAATGTTAGAAGCTAGGTCCAAAGGAATGGGTAGCTCCAGAATTTGCAGACATGCAAGTGACAAATTCATGATACTTTAAAAAACAAAAGTGTTACATTTAAAAGGCAACAATCCCCCTTTCCACTAAAATATCTTCCTTGCCCTGTCCCCAAATATTGATAAAAAGGTTTTTTGCAGTTGCCCCAAATTTCTCAATTGGAGGTAACAAAAATCTACATCAGTAATTGTAAATGTACAATAAAACACCTAGTATTTTACATATTCCTGTTTCTTAACTGAATAAGAACACATTTTAAGGACGTATTTATTACACTTCACCTCCTACCATTTTCTCAGGGTGAAAAGAACAGCCAAACATCAGCTAATTCATCTGTAAGACTTGAATCATTACTACATGGTATAGTTTGGCAATCATTAGTCATTAATGTTGCATCAAATACATACTGCTTGAAAGTATCTGAAAATAACACATTAACAATAAAGTTTATGAGGCTTTGATTTGTTATAAATAGAATTGCTCAAATAAGGAATGGTTTGAAAGCTGTTAATCTATACACTTAGTAACATATTAAGAGACTGAAATTAAGGCAAACAGGATATTTTTACAAGAAAAAAAATCTGAGAAACGTAAGCATTACAAAAAAACCCTAAAACACATCGATCTCTCAAGGAAGACGTGGAGGTACTCCTTTTAACAGTTTAATGAATGTCTTTGCTCAACTTTTTCTTTTTTTTTTTTTTTTTAACAAAAAAGGGAAAATAATTCTATTGTACAAGTGAATGGTGCACTATCACCTCAAATATTATGCTGGCTTTTGATCATAATCTCAATGTAGGCAGCATAAAGCAGATGTTTAAAGATAGGTAAAAAATTTCCTCCAAGACAAAGAAAAAAATTCACATGAGAGAGAAAACAGATTGATCCTGCCACTCCTTGCTTATGACTTTTCTAAATCTTTTTAATGTAGTAAGAATTTTAAGAAAAGGCCATCCATGACACCTCTCTTTCTCTTTGCTAAATAAAGAGCATGCAGTCGCATTTTGAATAGGTTTTCAGTACAGCTTATGACTTCTTTTGGTGAAATATGCTCATTTGAGGGTATGGGGTTTTTTACTAATCTCTGCTGAAAGCCAAATGTAGCATTAGATTAGCAAAGTTTATAATATAATTTCAGAAACCTAAACACATAACAAGCAGGTTAGACTCATTAACTAAAAGTTTTGCAAAATAGGTCCGACAGCTATGCAAGAATAAGTGAGAGCTCTCCTAAATTAGTCAAATCTGCAGAACACAGAAACCATTGAATTGACAACGTAGGATGCAAAACTAAAGGTATACTTCGCTGAACTAGGACATCACAGGCACATTAACATGCAAACAATAAGGAGGCCCGCTGAACATATAAGAGCATTCAAATATCATATGTCCTACTCCTTTGGCTTCAACTTATTCGATCTGCATAAAACGCATGTATATGTAAGAAAAAGGTATTCTTTAAAATGCCAGACTTGTATCAAGATGATAGTGATTTAATGATTTTGTTGTTTCTTGTGACCAATAAAATTCATTTTTCCTTTTTGCTAAAGCTCAAAACAATACTAAAGGAGGAAGTGAAAATATTACAGGAATAGAGAAAATAAGCAGATTTCCCCTTGTGCTGAGAGTGAAACTCAGTGTTTCTTCTCATTCTGATTATTTACAGGTATCAAGGATTTTGAAAAGCTTCAAAATTTGGATTATCATCAGCTTTTAACCAAAATCTATCCAATGGAAATAAAGTAAGAGCATTCCATGCTCTAAGTCCCTCCATGACATACTTTATAAAAACAGTAATGTAAGTGGCATTTTCAAATTACTAAGTTCTCTTCTTTGAGAGTAGCATTAAATGAAAATCCAAGCCCTAACTGTTGATGTTATTTTTCATAGCAAATAATCCAATACTTGTTATTCAGAAGTAAGATCATTTTAATTTCAGTAAAATACAATTTGTACAATTGTACTGTAGGCAGAGAAGACACCGATGTTATGCAATTCACCCAAATATTAATCACTTTGTGAAAACAGTTTATTTAATGTTAATAATATCACAGTTCCAATAACTGGAATACCACCAATCATGAATCAGCACCAAACAGCAGTCATGTCTCAAGCTGAGAGCATAGATCTCAGTCTGAACCCAGGTTCAGTGCCTTCTTATGCAAAAAAAAAAGTAAAGAAAACAATTTACACTGTGCAGCCATTGTGCATTTCAGTGTCTCTTCTGCCAAGTAATTAAAGAACAGGGTCATATTTGTCACGAGTGTTTCATAGTAGAACATTCTTTGCTATAGCTTTCGCTTTTAACTGAGAGTATCATTAAATGAAGTTTATATTCCATAAGCCATAGCCTATCGTTTTCATTCCTAACCACAGCAACTAATAATTTTACCATATTAGCCCTCAGCATTACTCTACAATGGCCTACTATTCATAAGCAAGCCATGATACATAAAGTAGTAAAACTATAAACATATTGTGACTTAGCAACAATTTCAAAATACATTCCCATTTTTGCTATCGACGTGCCATGAGGCTGTGAATAAGCCACATCCGTAATTCTGCCATGGTTTACCTCTAAATGGATAATACTATCCTACAGTTATAGCAGCAAAGCATATACATTAATCTACAGCAATATGCAGCACCAGAACTACTACTACAAAAAAAAAAAAAAAAGACAAAATTTTGCTTCAGCCTGGAGAAGAGAAGGCTTAGGGGGAGGGCAGACACCTAATAGCAGCCCCCGGGTACCTACAAGGTAGTCATCAAGAAGACTGATTTAGGCTCTTCACATCAGCAAATAGCAGGAGGACAGCAGACAACAGGCATAAGTTAAAACAAGAGAGACTCAGACTGGATATAAGGAAAAATTCTTTCCTCACGAGGACAGTCAAATATTGGAACATGGTTGACCAAAGAGGTTGTGCAGTCTGTGGAGGTTTTCAAATCCCAAATGGATAAAGCCCCGAGCAACCTCGTTTAACCTCATAGATGACCTTTGTAGGACTGCAGCTTCCTGAGGACCCTTCCAACTTGAGTTAGCCTATGATCCTCTGACTGAGTGCAGAAAAAGCTATGAACTATTACTGCTGTTACTGACAGAAAGGTTTCAGCAAGTCTGGAACCCCTAATAACACAGTAGAAAGAGCAGCCAGAGGCAATGGAAGAGTTGATCTATTTAGAATCTTTCAACAATATTGTCCTAGTAATTTTTAGTGAGTACTGCATCAGCTACAGTATTCTCACATAACCTTAACTGGAGTTAAATGAAGAGACCCTCATATTGTTACAAACTAAAGACAAAATACAGTTTTATTGTTTGCTGGTTTTGTTTAGATTGCGTAATATAAGATTAAAGGAGCTCCATATGCCTGTAATGACCATGCCATCAATTGATACCAAATCACACTGATGTTAGGAATTTGTTTACTTGAATATATATTAAAATATAAAATATTTCAAATAGGATTTTTAAGTCATAGTTCCAAAGAACTACTACTGGAGTTTTTATTTTAAACTTTTATTTTCATTTAAGAAATGTTGTTGTCTACTTGGACTTTAGTAAGGCCTTTGACACTGTCTCCCACAGCATTCTCCTGGAGAAGCTGGCTGCTCACGGCTTGGATAAGTGCACTCTGCGCTGGGTTAAAAACTGGCTGGACGGCCGAGCCCAGAG